ACTGCAACCTCTGCCTCACTAGCTCAAGCGATTCTCCTGCCTCAGCCTCCCTAGTAGCTGGCATTAGAGGCATGAGCCACCACGCCCGGCTAATTTTTTGTATTTTTAGTAGAGACGGGGTTTCACCACGTTGGCCAGGCTGGTCTTGAATTCCTGATCTCAAGTGATCCGCCCACCTCAGCCTCCCAAAGTGCTGGGATTACTGGCATGAGACACTGTGCTTGGCTGGTCTTCCAAGTCTTAATATACAAGGCATGCATGCATACACACTAGGAAATAATACATATACAGCAATACAGAATGATCTTTATAAAGACAGCATCATAGCTACCACTGCTGCATAGACTTTTCTTTAAAATTCTTACATTTATTTCATTTCCATGCTAATGCATATTCTTCTGCTTTATAATTTTAAAGTTTCCATAATGTTTTCTCTTATATAAAGGCACTATGACTCAAGAAATGTCCCGTGGTTGTTTTTAATCCAAATTTGCAGATGATGATCAAAGGATTAAAGAATGATTCATGTGGCTAGAATTCCACTTTGCTTGTTGAATATTTAGAAAAAAAAATAAAATCAAGGCCAGTGACGGTGGCTCATGCCTGTAATCCCAGCACTCTGGGAGGACGAGGTGGGAGAATCGCTTGAAGCCAGGATTTCGAGGCTTCAGCAAGTGACTCAGTCATAATCCCAGTGAATAAGAGCATCCTGAGTGAAGAGTGAGATCCCGTCTGTATGAAATAATACGCTGCAGGCAGGGATACAGAGCAAGACCTAGCCTAGAAAAAATTTAAAAGAAAAAAGGAAGCAAATGCTGTCCTCAGATACTGAAGTCATTCTGAGGAATTCACAGGATTTCATAAGGACTGGATGTGTGGAAGTGTCAGTGTTTTGTTAGTGAAAACTTAGTGCTTAAAAAAACTAATATTTTCTCAGGTGCAGTGGCTCACACCTGTAATCTCAGCATTTCGGGAGGCAGAGGGAGGTGGATCACCTGAGGTCAGGAGTTCAAGACCAGCCTGGTCAACATGGGGAGACCCTGTCTCTACTAAAAATACAAAAATCAGTTAGGCATGGTTGCACATGCCTGTAGTACCAGCTACTCAGGAGGCTGAGGCAGGAGAATCACTTGAACCCAGGACATGGAGGCTGTGGTGCACTGAGATTGCGCCACTGCACTCCAGCCTGGAAAACAAGAGGGAAACTTTGTCTCAAGAAAACCCCCAAAAAACTAATATTTTGAAATTTCTTTGCTTGAGGAATTAGAGATTCAAAGAACAATTGATAAGAAAGCAAACTGCAAAATAAGTGAGGTAATTAATCCCTTAGAAAAGTCCAGGCTGGCGGTGGACAGCTGATTTCATAAGAGACTTTGAGATGAAATCAAGAGCAAAGCCGGGCAGTCCAACGGGAAGAAAAGGGAATCTATAACTACGCTCATTAATTCCAAACCTTGATGAAGCAGTTATCTAAAGAGAAAATCAGTCTAAACTGGCTCACAAAGAGGTGGAAAACTTCAACAAACCAATACACGGTAAGAAATGTTGAAAGCTGAGTGAGAATCGGTCTTTTGAAAATTCCCTGGCCCATGCGGTTTTGAAGGCGAACCGTGGCCGTGTTTCAAAAGCACTTTAAAAAATGATAATTAGATGGTTCTGCAATGTAATGGGAAAAATAGAAAAACTTCTCAAGGTTCTTTCTTTTCTTTTGTAAACAAATTATTAAAACTTCAGTATCCCAGCTTGAGATAGACAGGAAAGAAAGTAAATCTATAGCTCCCAGATAAATGTCATTGCAAAAGACCTCACTGGGGATGGGCACGGTGACTCTTGACTCATCCTAGCACTTTGGGAGACTGAGGTGGGCAGATCACTTGAGGTCAGGAGTTCGAGACCAGCCTGGCCAATGTGCTGAAACCCTGTCTTTACTAAAAATACAAAAACTAGCCAGGCATGGTGGCACACACCTGTAATCCCAGCTACTCAGGAGGCTGAGTCAGGAGAATTGCTTGAACCTGGGAGGCAGAGGTTGCAGTGAGCCGAGACAGTGCTACTGCATCCCAGCCTGAGTGACAAGGGCAAAACTCTGTCAAAGAAAGAAAGAAAGAAAGAAAGAAGGAAAGAAGGAAGGAAGGAAGGAAGGAAGGAAGAAAGGAGGGAGGGAGGGAGGGAAGGAAGGAAGGAGGGAAGGAAGGAAGGAGGGAGGGAGGGAAGGACGGAAGGAAGGAAGGAGGGAAGGAAGGAAGGAGGGAAGGAAGGAAGGAGGGAAGGAAGGAAGGAGGGAAGGAAGGGAAAAGACAGGAGAGAAGAGGAGGGCGGGGAAGGGAGAAGAGGGGAGAAGAGAAAAAAGAAAAAGGAAAAGCAAGCTTGAACCCAGGAGGTGGAGGCTGCAGTGAGCCAAGATCACGCCACTGCACTCCAGCCTGGATGACAGAGCAAGACTCCATCTCAAAAACAAACAAACAAAAGAACAACACCCAAAAAAACTGAAGGGAATAGCTGGGGTATGAGTCATTGCCCTGCGTAAGAAGACAACGTACCAGGACAACAAAGATCATTGCAGAAATGTGGGCCATTCAATTGTTGGGTCTTAAAACACCAGCACCCCCAAGGCTGGTGCTTTGTCCTGCTCAACTGAAGGACAAGGCTTACGCCCAGGCTGGAGTGCAGTGGCACAACCTCGGCTCACTGCAACCTCCACCTCGCTGGTTCCAGTGATTCTCCTGCCTCAGCTTCCCAAGTAGCTGGGATTACATACGCCCAGCACCACACCTGGCTAATTTTTTGTATTTTTAGTAGAAACGGGGTTTCAACATCTCTCTGACCTCCCCCTCTGTGGGAATTTACTCAGGGTGGTGGCAAAAATATTAAGGGAAAAATAGTAGAGAACGTTATAGAATACAGTCTGGAACACTTTTGGAAGGCAAGGCCTCACGGTTTTTTCTGTAGTTCCTGGCTGAAGGCAGCCAGAGTCTCTTGGCAGGAGCAACAGAGATTAGGTGTTGGGGTTCACTCGGGGTGTCTGGCCAAATATTAGCAAAATATTAGGGAACGTTTTAAGATTATAGTCTGGAGCCTTTGGGAAGGTTGAAGGGTTTCTTTTTTTCTTTTTTAAAAATTATACTGTAAGTTCTGGGGTACGCATGCAGATCACGCAGGATTGTTACACAGGTACACACATGCCATGGTGGTTTGCTGCATCCATCCCCCTGTCATCTACATTGGTATTTCTCCTAATGTTCTCCCTCCCCAGCCCCCCATGCCCTGCTATCCCTCCCCTAACCTGACTACCCTCCAACAGGCCGCGATGTGTGAGGTTCCCCTCCCTGTGTCCACGTGTTCTCTTTGTTCAACACCCACTTATGAGTGAGAACATGTGGTGTTTGATTTTCTGTTCTTGTGTCAGTTTTCTGAGAATGATGGTTTCTAGTTTCATCCATATTCCTGCAGAGGACATGAACTCATCCTTTTTGATGAGGGTAAAGCTCTTCTCTGAAATTCCCCAAAGTCTGGACCCACCAGAGGAGGAGGAAGGACCCAGGGCCCCTTCCCTGGGTTTCCGAACCCATATCGCAGGCGAGAAGCCTGGCATCTGTCGACAGCTGTGTACAAATGCCTCAGAAACCACTGTCTGTTCTGCGGGTTCGACCATCGCTGTCACGGGCCGCTGTGCATTCTTCCACCCCACTGACTTCCCTTAAAAACCATTTACTGTTCCCCTAAATTCACCCCAATTCCCCACTCCCTGTCCCTTAAAAAGAAGAGTCCATACCCCCCAGTGTGACGCGGCAATCCCTCTGTCTTTCTGCTCCATGTGTGAGAATACATTTTCATGACCTTTCCTTTATTCATCTTGGAATAAGGGAAATTGTATTTTGTGAGTTGATTTTTCGGCAAACCTTTGGAGGGCAAAGGGGGACGTTTTTCCATTGGCCCCTACCACAGCCTCGCCAAAGGGTCTCCAGCTCCTAAGAAGATTCATTTATGGCCCCTACACAGTGACAGACGGTCACCCACTGAGCTGGTAGATAGGGTTTTGGGGTGAGAATATACAAATAAATCCCTGAATCTATGCACCCAGCACCCCACACACGCTGCCTGGAAGTGCCTGTGTCAGGGCTGTGTGAGCCAGAGCGACTCCATCTTCAGAAGGGACTGGATAAACTGAGGCTGAGCCCTCCCAGATAGTGAAGGCATTCTAAGGCATGGGATGAGACAGAAGGTGGGCACAAGACACAGGTCATAAAGACCTTGCTGACAAAACAGCCTGCAGTCATGAAGCCGGCCAGAACCCAGCAGAACCAAGATGGCGACAAAAGGGCCCTCCGGTCATCCTCACTGCTACGCTCTCACCAGAGCCATGACAGTTTGCAAATGCCGTGGCGATGTCAGGAAGCCACCCTGTATGGTCTAAAAAGGGGAGGCATGACGAACCCACCCCTTGTTTAGCATATCATCAAGGAATAACCGTAAAAAGGGGCGACCAGCTGCCCTCGAGGCTGCTCTGTCTATGGAATCACCATTCTTTATTCACTGATTTTATCTTTTTTTATTTGACACTGAGTCTTGCTCTGTCACCCAGACTCAAGTGCAGTGATGCGATCTCGGCTCACTGCGACCTCTGCCTCCCAGGTTCAAGCAATTCTCTGCCTCAGTCTCCTGAGTAGCTGGGCTTACAGGCAGCTGCCACCATGCCTGGCTAATTTTTGTATTTTTAGCAGGGACAGGGTCTCACCATGCTGGCCAAGCTGGTCTCGAACTCCTGACCTCATGATCCACCCACCTTTCCCTCCCAAAGTGCTGGGATGACAGGCATGAACCACCGCGCCTGGCCTATGATTTTCTTGATAAACTTGCTTTCGTTTTGCACTGCAGACTGCTGTGAATTATTTCTTGCATGAGATCCAAGAACCCTGTCTTGGGGTCTGCATGGGGAGCTCCTATTTCCTGTAAACAGCTTCAGGTGTAGCCGTGAAAGCACAGAAGCCGAAGTGCCTTACCTTGAAAAGCAACCAGCCGAGAAGCTTCTTCATCAGACGTGTACCCCAGAACAGATGTCTGTAGAGGTCCGTGTCGACCACGCCGGGGTCCACAACGTTGGCCGTCACGTGGCTCCCCGCAGCCGCCAGCAGCCCCTGCAGGTGGTAGGTGAAGAGGACGAGGGCCCGCTTGCTCTGGGCGTAGGCTCCATGGGGTGAGTAGCAGGCATTTTGGGGCAAACAGGACAAGGTGTAAGAGGCTGACCGCATTCACGCCTAAACGCTTCGTCCTGACGGCAACTGTGGCTTCGGCCACGTCTACAGGCAGCCACCTCCCGCGGACCCACGTGTGATCGCGCAGTCTGTTGGCCAGTTTTGCAATGCATGTGGATTTTTCTAGTTCATCTTTCTATTACAAACGCATCCCTTAATTGTACTGGGTCAGAGATGTTAAATGACGTTACTAATTTTTTTTTTGAGGCTCACTCTGTCCACCCAGTCATGAATAACCCACGCTTGTTTAGCATATCATCAGGAAATAACCATAAAACTGGGCAAGCAGCAGCCCTCTGGACTGCTCTGCCTGTGGAGTAGTCATTCTTTATTCCTTTTTTTAATTCTATTTTTTTGAGACGGAGTCTCGCTCTGTCGCCCAGGCTGGAGTGCAGTGGCATGATCTTGGCTTACTGGAACCTCCTCCTCCCAGGTTCAAGTGATTCTCCTGCCTCAGCCTCCTGAGTAGCTGGGATTACAGGCACGCGCCACCCCACCTGGCTAATTTTTGTATTTTTAGTAGAGACAGGGTTTCAGTATGCTAGCCAGGCTGGTCTCGAACTCCTGACCTCGTGATCCACCCACCTTGAACTGCCAAAGTTCTGGGATTACAGGCGTGAGCCACCGTGCCTGGCCAGAGATGTTAAATTATGTTACTATTTTTTTTTTTTGAGATAGAATCTCACTCTGTCGCCCAGGCTGGAGTGCAAGGGTGCAAACTCGGCTCACCGAAACCTCCGCCGCCTGTGTTCAAGCGATTCTCTTCCCTCAGCCTCCCAAGTAGCTGAGAGTACAGGCACTCACCACCACACCCGGCTAATTTTTGTATTTTTAGTAGACATGAGGTTTCACCAGGTTACCCAGGCTGGTCTCGAACTCCTGACCTCAGGGGATCCGACTTTGACCTCCCAAAGCGCTGGGGCTACAGGCATGAGCCACAGTGCCAGGACTACGTTACACATTTTTGAAAGGGGGTTCTTAATTTTTTTAATTTTTGAAGTTCTAATTATTATCAATATACAATAATTATACATATTTACATTGCACATGTGATATAAATTTTGTTGTTTTTGAGACAGTGTCTCCCCCTTGCCCAGGCTGGAGTACAGTGGTAGTCATAGCTCACTGTAGCCTCAAAGTTTTGGGCTCAAGTGATCTTCCTGCCTCAGCCTCCAAGTCACCTGGGAAAACAGGTGCGTATCACCACGCCCAGCTAATTTTAATTTTTTTGTAGAGATGGTGTCTAGTTTATGTTAACCCAGCTGGCCTTGAACTCCTGGCCTCAAGTGATTCTCAGGCCTGTATTCCCAGCACTTTGGGAGGCCGAGGCAGGAGGACCCATTGACCTCAGAAGTTTGAGACCAGCTTGGGCAACATAGCAAGACCCCATCTCTACAAAAAAATTTTTTAAAAATTAGCTGCGTGTGGAGGCAAGTATTTGTGGTCCCGGTTACTGTGGAGGGTGAGGTAAGAGGACTGCTTGAGCCCACAAGGTTGGAGCACTGGTGAGCCAGGTTCACTCCACAGCCCTCTAGCCTGGGCAACAGAGTGAGACCCTGATTCCAAAAGGAAGAAAAACAGAACAAGACTTGTCTCAGACCTCAAATCCAGGAGACAGATTTCAGCCTGACCTTTGTGTTTTTTCTCTCCAGCCTTGCAACAAAAGAAATACCAGAAAAAAAGCAATACTCTTTCTGAAAAGCCGGTGCCTCGGTCTTCACCCCTGTGGACATGAAGCAGGAAGCCCATTTGCTTAACAAAAGGAACAGAAGTTTTTCTTTTTTCCCTTAAAGTTGATTTCCTCTGATATTAGTGTAGCTCATCAGCTTTTTTGGGGTGGGGATTGATGTGCCCTCCTGGCTGTTTTTCCCTTATCCTTTCAACCTCAATAATTATTTTTTATAATACGAGAAAAATCATGGATGTGATTCACCCGATTAAGCATTCAATACATTTCAGCGCAAATGCATATGCGGTTAGATGCCACACTGACTGGTCCTCCCACCATCTACTGAATGCTACCTGTTCATCTGGTCTCCTTTGTTTGTTTGTTTTTGAGACGGAGTCTAGCTCTGTCACCAGGCTAGAGTGCAGTGGTGTGATCTCGGCTCACCGCAACCTCTGCCTCCTGGGTTCAAGCAATTCTCCTGCCTCAGCCTCTTGAGTAGCTGGGATTACAGGCACCTGCCACCATGCCTGGCTAATTTTTGTATATTTAGTAGAGGCAAAGTTTCACCACGTTGGCCAGGCTGGTCTCTGCCTCTTGACCTCGTGATCTGCCTGCTTCGGCCTCCCAAAGTGCTGGGATTACAGGCATGAGCCACCGCACCTGGCCTGTTTTGTCTTTTTTGAAACAGGGTTTCACTGTGTCACCCAGACTGGAGTGCAGTGGCACAATCTTGGTTCACTGAAATCACCACCTGCCCGGTTCAAGCGATTCTCCTGCCTCAGCCTCCTGAGTGGCCCAGGACTACAGGTGCCTGCCACCACACCCAGCTAATTTTTTTGTATTTTTAGCAGAGACGGGAGTTTTGCCATGTTGGCAGGCTGATCTCCAACTCCTGACCTCAAGTTATCCACCCACCTGAGCCTCCCAAAGTGCTGGGATTACAGGCATGAGCCACTGTGCCCAGCCTGTTTTTTTGGAACAATATCTCACTCTGTCACCCAGGCTGGAGTGCAGTGGCATGATCTTGGCTCACTGAAATCACCACCTGCCTGGTTCAAGCGATTCTCCTGCCTCAGCCTCCCAAAGTGCTGGGATTACAGGCATGAGCTACTGTGCCCGGCCTGTTTTTTTGGAACAAGGTCTCACTCTGTCACACAGGCTGGAGTGCAGTGGCATGATTTTGGCTCACTGCAACCTCCACCTGCCACGTTCAAGTGATTTTCCTTCCTCAGCGTCCCGAATAGCCAGGACTATAGGTGCCCACCACCATACCCAGCTAATTTTTTGTATTTTTAGTGGAGATGGGAGTTTTACCATATGGCCACGCTGTTCTTGAACTCCTGACCTCAAGGTATCCACCTGCCTCAGCCTCTCAAAGTGCTGACATTACAGTCATGAGTCACTTGTGGTCTTTTTCTTTTAGATTCTCACCCAGGCTGAAATGCAGTCGCACAACCTCTGCCTCCCAAGTTCAAGCAATTCTTGTGCCTCAGCCTCCAGGGTAGCTGGCATTACAGGGATGCATCACCACGCCTAGCTGACATTTTTGTATCTTTAGTAGAGACGGGGTTTTACTATGTTAGCCAGGCTGGTCTCGAACTCCTGACCTCAGGTGATCCACCTACCCAGACCTCCTAAAGTGCTCCATTACAGGTGTGAGCCACGGCGCCCGGCCACATGTGGTCTTCGTGATGAGTCTCAAATCACAAAACACATTCACACACGCAATTTTGCAAATTTACCAAGCTACGAAGAATTTTCCTCACATGTATTGCAAGGTCTGCAGTGTGCTAAGCACAACTGTTTGCAACTTGGTTCAAGCAGCTTAGAGAAACATTTTGGTATCACAGGACACAGTGATAAAAATCGATCCAATAACTGTGGTACAGTGAGAAACGTCCCCCTCTCTCTCTGTCCCTCGTAAGCTCAATCACCAGAAGCTTAGAAAACTGACTGTTTCCAGCTATGCCCCGTAAATACGTTCCACCTTTTATACTGATGCCTTAGAAATACTTTTTTTTTTTTTTTTTGAGATGGAGTCTCGCCCTGTTGCCAGGCTGGAGTGCAATGGCGCGATCTCGGCTCACTGCAACCTCCGCCTCCTGAGTTCAAGTGATCCTCCTGCCTCAGCCTCCCGAGTAGCTGGGATTACAGGCACCTGCCACCATGCCTGGCTCATTTTTACAGGGTTTCACTATGTTGGTCAGGCTGGTCTCGAACTCCTGACCTGAGGTGATCCACCCGCCTCGGCCTCCCACAGCGCTGGATTAGAGGCCTGAGCCACCACACCCTCGCTGGCCAGAAACAGTTTTTAAAGAGCTGTTATTTGTGGTGTGCATCGTGTGCCTTGAAGGTACACAGCCATCATACACTCCTTTTAGAATTTAATGCTAGGAGGCTGTAGAATTGGCCTCATAGTTCTTTTCCATAAGACAAGGAGAAGTATTTGAGCAATAACGTTTCCTCTGGCTCAAGAGATGCCAGAGGCAATCAACTTGCTATACAATTACCTTAACAATATTTCAAGGTGGCTGAAGCTTCATAGCTCTTGCTTCTTTTAGACATATATAAATATATTTTAATTTTCTGAATTAAGCACATGGTCTATGTATCCTAAAGGAAGCTGTGAACGGAGAGTATCCTGGGTCCCCAAAATCAAAAAGCTAAAAATACAGTCTAGTTGGAACGTGCTCAAGGCAAACCTACCTT